ACATCCCCAAAAGCCGACCTCTCCTCTCCGGACCGGTGGAGGTCCCGGAGGCCCGGCCGGTACCGGCCCGGACCGCTGAGCGCAATGAGGATCGGCCACAGGGACGAGTGTTGGGTGTTCACATCTGCGGAGTCCAGGCGGGACGGACGTTTGGTCGAAGCGCCGTAAGGAACGCAGAATGTCCTGCGTGGCACCCATGGGCAGCACGGTTTTGGGAAGGTTCTTGTGGAGGTGTTTCTTGAGGCTGGGGGATGACCTGTTTGGTGGTTGTGAGGGTGGATTCGTCCACAGCTGTGAGATGGATGACATCATTCGGTTCAAACATAACACGACAGACACGCAGTTCTGCGTGGTTTTGCTCTTGCTGGGTGTAATTTGCTGCGAGCCAGTTTTGAGTTTTTCCATATCTCCCTAAACACGCGAGACTGTATTTTGCGATGTGATGCAGTTCAATACTGAGACTGCCCATGTCCACCTATGGTCTCGAACTGCACGTGAAGATGAACATGCACGTTCACATTCACATCAGCTGACTCCTGTCCGGAGTGAAACATCACCTGCCACTGTGTGCGGCCTGGATGTTTCTATGGTGTTGGCTTCGTGATGGGTTCTGCGATGTCCTGCGGATGAAACGGGACGACCCGTCGTCTACAGACGGACCGCGTGTTGGGCCGGGTCGCTGGGTCGCTGGTGCCAGCTGGCGCACGGGTACCTGCGGCGCCAGTTTCACTTGACCTTTGTGGAAGGAAGCTCAAACACGACCAACCCAGCCCACGGTTGCCGGGTTCTTTGGATTCTTTGACGGGCACTGATTGGACCTGATTTTCATCTTGTCTTTAACTATGTGCATACAGAAGTAGACCAGCTGCTCAAGAAGTGCCGTTCCTGGCGACTGCACGAGGCTGGTGAGCTGATCAACTTCGGAGCCGATGCCATCAACAACCAGACCACCATCTTCGACATGCTCCAGTTCGTCTTCCCAGCCGTGCCTGGGCCGCAACCCGATCGGGATCACACAGCGGTGCAGTGACGAAGCTGGCACTTCGGCCAGCCAGGAAGTGCAACCAGCTGGTGATCTTTGAGATTTTCTGTTTGGGATGATTAACGACCCTAGTTGGGAGTGTTTGGTCAAGTTTGTTAGCACATACACAGCGTCAGAAAAAAGACAAAACACACACAATCGGCACAGAGCCTTCTGTTGCAATTCAACTATTCAACTCTATATCTACCAGCATACATCCCCACACGTCTGTCGGTCCTCCGGCGGCACGGTCCTCAGGTGACGTACCACGTGCTCTACAACGCCGCGGCTGCGGAGGCGAAGCTTCGCATGGCCGGGGTCAAGGACCTGAGCGCCGCGGCCTCCTGGGCACGGGACACTTGGCCGAACGGTGGAAGGTGCAAGGTGGAAGTGGTGGGTGGGAGCTGGTGTAAGTGGGAGCGAAGCAAAGGTTTTTCCACTTTTGTTTGGCTTGGGGGTATGACCCATATGACTCATACTTGACTCATACTTACTTCAAAGAACCCCCAATGAAATCATACTCCCAAGTAAGTATGGTAATTTTCATACTTCATTAGAGTCTTTGATGACCTTTGAAGTATGAACAAACATTGAAGAATCTTCCCGTGCCTCCGCCTAGCATCCGAAGCGGCATGCGGCATGTGTTTCTGTTCCTGCTCTGCTGCCGAACAGCTGCTGCTCTGTCACTGCCTTTCGGTGACCTAAACACAGCCATGGTCAGAATAAGCCGAGATGAGCAAAGTTGAGACCAGGGAGGTATGTAGTGGGATGGAACCCACAACTACCCACTACTTAAACTAATCCTGAACCTTCGATCTTCCTCGACGACGTGTGACTATAGTCCACTCATCCTCATCCTTCCACAGGTGAAGACGGCCATCCTCAAAAGGCTTGAGGGCACTGCCATCACCTTCGAAGAGGCTGGACAGAGCCCCGTGTCACCGTGCCACGGTCTCGATTGATCCAGGAATAGCGACCGGACCGAACGGAAAGTGGATGGAAAGTGGAAAAAGTGAGAGTTGGATTCAGTTGGATCTCTGTGTTTTGCAGTGAACTCCAATGAATGGGACCTTGGCAGATCTGCTTTGGAAATGAATAGGCTCTTTAAGGCTCTTTAACAAAGAGAACGGGCCCGTCCTCAAAGCAGACCCCGAACCACTGCTCAGACCGCCTCCTGTCCAGGGCGTGAAGGGCACCATGCGGAAGTTCGACGCTCGGGGGAAGCTTCGTCTCTACCCGGAGGAGATGAAGGCGCCACGCAGCCAGCTCCATGAGCTGCGGTGATTTCGGGTGTTTCGCGCCTGGCTCGTCCACGTGCCAAGCACCGTGCCACCCGCGCGTTTCCCGCACGTTTCAGACGCGTACGACGAATCAGGCGCTCATGGAGAGCTTGGGGCTTCAACTTTCTCAGGAACAGCTGGAGGCAGGGGAGGAAGAGCTGGAGGGTCATTTTTGCTCAGGTTCTTCACAGGTAAATCAACATGTGGCGTCAAGCTACGATGATCCATGTTCTGGAGCCACACGTTACTTAGTACTTGATTGAGGCGCAAGGGGTGGCGCAGCTTTTTGGATGATTTATGTATGAATCCTGCCGGCTACCAGGCTATGGGCCGGAGATGTATATATACGATGACCAAACCGTATGAATTGGATGGATGCGTCCTTTCTCATCGGAGCGGTTTATATTCTGGATTCTTGAGGTCAACAAGCTGGTCTCAGGAAATCCCTTTTCTTGAAACATGTGACACCACCGCCTTCGCCCTTCGGCGGAGGAGGATGGAGGGGTCCCGTGACTCGAAGGTCTCACCATCCACCTCGGCCAGGATGGACCCTTGACTCGTGTACAACTCCTTGAAAGAATCATGGAAGTGGAAAAGGGTCATCGAAAAGGGGCCATGCCATCCACTTTGATCCATGACATTATTTCAGGGATTGTATCTCGATCTCAAGGCTTCCCTCCCGGAGCGGAGGCTTGGAATCCCCCTCAGCCCTCATCCAGGGTCTTGCAGCAGATCGTTCTGCTGAGCCGATCGCTTCGTCTTCCAGGCGATGATCAAAGAGGCCGACTTGCAGCAGAGGGGCTTCGTGGAGCCTTGGATCGGACGCAGACGGCTTGTTTTGGGGGAAACCAAGCAGATCCCATATAAAGAGCGAGGCCTCAAGCATCTTCTTTTTGAAGTAAACCGGAACTTTTGGTTTAGAAGAAAAACATACGTAACATAGGGTCTTTCGCTGGAGATTTGGGGTTCAGACCAAAAGACGGTCTTTCGGTGAAACCACTGGCTGAGGACTATCCGGACTTCGTGGCCGTCTGCAACACCTGTGGCATGGGCCCCGTGAAGAAGTCCTGAGGGCTCCGCACCGGGTCCGCGCGGTGTGCCGCGGTGTGCGCCGCGGTGCGCGGCCGAGGCGGTGCGCCCCGTTGGGTCACCCCGACCATGTCTCCAGGGAGAGACCAAAGAGGTCGTTGCGGGGGTCCAGTCCAAAGAGGGTTCAAGGAAGTTAGCCCCAAATCAGTGGGACAATTATAATCATACAACCGATAATCAGCTTTCGTTGGTGAGAGGATTTCTGACGGAGGTCTCCCCCAATAATATCCCGGGTAAATGTAGAGCAACCAAGTCCTGTTCTCTCCCCGCAGTTCGTGGCGGCCATGGAGCTTCAACGATATCTCGCATTGGTTTCCAATCACAAGGGGTTCTTCAAAGGGAACATATTGCCTAGCCCCTACCATGATAGATTCTGCAGTGGGCCATGTTTGAGGGAAGCGTTTGCAACTAGCAATTCTTGATGTTGAAAATAAGCTATAGGCCTTTTGCATCCTTTTGCTAAGTTCAGTGCCAACGGTATACAGAACAGCTTTATTTTCTCGCCAGAACTCACCACTACTCACCACTAATTTCTATGAAAGATAAGCTCAATTGGATGCAACATCGATGGACTTGACATGGACCCCACAGAGTAATAGGCCACCGATGGGTGAGCTACCGCAAATTTTTCTTCCCGTGGAACCGGGTGATCTCCAAGGGGCCGGCAGCTCAAGGCTACCGAGACGCCCCGGGCATTTTCGCTTCGTCTTCAGCCAAGCTGAACGCAACGCTTAACCGTCGAGAACTTCAAAAGTGATCGCCCGGCAGGTGGCTTTTCGGATTGGACGCCAGCAGTGCTTTTTTGTGTGGCAGATGGAGGGTTCTTCGAGCCAGGTGAGTCTGAAAAGACCTGTTGGAATGTAGGATTTGCAGATCAAGGAGCCAGATATTGCAGATCCCCAACATGCACAAACCATGTGGAGTTCGAATCCATCCGCACCGCTGACCTCGTCGATCTGAAACCGCTGACCGGTGCTTCGCGTCTGGGACGACGTCGGTGGAATCCACCGACACCGCGGGGCAGAGGTGGTGTCGATGTCGTCGATTTCGAGTCCAAGAGAGGAGACCAGAACCTTCGGACCGGATGTGGTACGGATGCGCGACAAGACGGGCTGTGAAAAACATCTCTTGGGTGGCTGAAAACATCACACCGGCAGCCTCAATATTGAACGGATTGCTTTCGCGTGGCGCCAGAATCCGCCAGAATCTCCTACGGGTGATGTGGAGTTCGAAGCAACACGAGGACAAACAATCGAAGTGGACGCCCTGACCTCTGGAAAGACTACAGTATACTCCTCAACCAAACAGCTAGCTAGGTCCATGTTTGGGTCGGGTTCATGTACGTGCTCTCTCCACCTTTTTGGCTCAAACCTCACATGATCCAAACCAAAGAACGAACGGACCCATTCGACGGTCCTTTTTTTCCACCATGGTCCGTTTCTCGGTTTCCAGCAACGAGTTTGGCCTTACCAGGTTCTTCGAAGGATCATAATGCTTCAAATTGCTGGACTGGCACAGGCAGCACCTGATTGTCTCAATGACCGTCCAATTTCCATTCCCTAAAGCGTGCAACCTGACTGTCAGCAGCCTCACTTGCTCGCAGATCTCTCATGGGCTGCTCGAGTAGTCAACTTCCCGAGGACGGGAGAAATCGCTTCAACCTCCTGCGAGTCGCGCGGGATTCAGACCTTTCCCGAATTCGGTGCTAAAAAATATGGGAAAACGACAACGGTGGCCACATGGGATTCTGAAACAGATGGTGGCTCCGGCCGCAAACCTAGCTCCACCACCACGCCTTCGAACCTTTATGGCAAAGTCACCATTCCAACCAAGGCTTGCTTTGGGTCTTACTCTTGGGTTCACACGTTCATGAGGGCATGCCAAACCAAAGGAGTCACAGCAAAAAAGTGTTTTGGAAGAGAGGAGCATGCGACTGATCCGTCTTTTTCTCTTCCAAACCAATTCAATCGGTTGAACAACCATTGAAACACATAAAACGGAGAGCGCCACGCGGAGAGAGTTGCAAGAGAGCTTAAACAAAAGGAATAGGACCAAGTGCATCGCTACTAGTAGCAGGGGCATCGCTACTAGGAACAAAAGGATGCACCTATTCTTATAGTAGCTTCTTGTTCCTAGTAATGCCAGGAGCTACGTAGCCCTGCTTCCAGCTACCGATGCACTTGGCCGCTCGCCAGGCGCCCGATGCGGTCGGCCCCGCACGGACCTTGCTCACCTCCCCCAGCAAGGCACGGAGGGCGGGCACGCGTGACGCGGGTGCCACTGCTTATTCCAAGTATGTTTCGGAGGCGCGTTGATGGTTCTTCTACCTGGTCTTTTTGTGTTGACGAGCTTGGCTCGACACTTGTTGGTAGGGTGGGATGCCTTTTTCCGCCACATGTCCAGCAGCAGGAGGTTCTGGGTTCCTGCGAGGGCACGACATATCCCATGTACATGGCCCATGCACATGACCAGGAGAAGATCGTCACTGAGGATGAGAAGAAGGCCGGATGCTGTTTTTCACTGGGCCATGGTCACTTGAGATATGGCAATCCGGTTCAAGATGCTTCAAGAAACGGTTGCTATTGGGTGAATCGTTTGCTTCCCATGTTCGATTTCCCTTTTTCTTTTCACCTTTTCATGTGTATGCTTACTTTCCATGTTTCATGTTTATGGTTGGACATGAAAAAACGCCTCGGCTGCCAATGGGTGTTCCCTGAAGTGCCAGTGGTCCATTTTAATGACAAAGACACCCGTAGACCGAAAGGGTCTCCGGTCTCCTAAATCAATCGCCATGGGCTTCTATAGTGATCCCCAAACAAAAAAAGGTGGCACGGTGTCCCATTTTTAGCATTATCTTTTTAACATCACGATGATCTACCTTTCTATCTATCCACACCAGACTGTACCCCATGTCCGGATCTGCTGCGGGGCGAGGCCTTGGAAGGAGCGCTCAACCATCGGCGCCTGCAGATCTGGGTGCTCCGTGCCGAGCTCCTAAGGCCGGGAGTCTGAGTGACCTTCAGCCAGGGCAGAATGCTTCCGCACAGTGCGGAATCGCATCGCGAAGGGGAAGAAAGACTCCGGACATGATGGGTTTTCTAAAAACATCTCAAGAATGGGGTGTATCAATCAATTGGCCAGAAACATAATTGCATCATATTGGATCATACTGGATCATATTGAATATTTGGGGATCATTGGGGATCCATTCTTGGGAGCTAACCTTCAGTAGAATATGGTAGTTGGCCATTTCTCCGTATGCCAACACCTTGCACGATGCATCCAACCACCAATTCGCACACCCACCCACACCAAGAGAATTCGATTTTCACCTACTGCGTCGGTGAAGCAGCTCCCATGAAAGAAAAAAGACTTCAAGCAGCTTGGTGTTCAAGAAAGGACACCAAGACGCTCATCAAAATCCCCCTTCCACGACGGGGAACACGCCTGTCGAGCTCCGAGCTCGCTCTGTGGCCAGGAGCTTCGAGAGCTTTGGGAAGATGGATCCCTTCGTCGTGGTGGAGCATGTCACCAGCAGTCGGAAGCGCCCAGTGAAAGGATGGGTCTGGAGGTTTGGAGGCTTGCGAGGATGGTATAGGAGGTATAGGAGGATATACTTCTGAGATGTCTTCCAAATTCAGATCTCGGTTACGGGGGTTTTGCAAGATTTCCTCTTGACCATTTTCCACCAGTTCCTGGATCCCTTTCCGAAGATGTGAATAGATCAACCCTGGTGGGCTTGGAGGTCAGAATTTCTCCCCAGCTTAATACTCAGACCGAGTCAAGCTTTAGAGCTTTAGCTTTCCTGATGAGACCCAGAGATCTTTCAACATCCTGAGTTTGTGGTCGTGGTAAGTCACAGGGAGCATCGACAAAGTCCACCTCACTTTTTTGGGAGACAACAGGCCTGTTGTCTTCCACTGGGGTGACTGTCCTTGTCTCAGGCATTTTCAACTGTTTGTTCATGTTTGATCCATATGAACACCGACTTCAAGACCAGCATCGCTTTGCACTTGCCTGTTGTGTATATCCCAAGCAATTGGATTCATTGAAGGCAAGTCTTCTGATTCTTCCTTTGCGAAAGAACGCAGGAAGCTTTTGACTGCCGGTCCCAAAGGTGTCCTTAGGCTGTTCTGGGCATCATCCAATCAGAGTCCAATATGGGTGGGTATTGAAATAGGGAGATGTCCCCGAACGACCTCCTGGAAGACGGAAAAGAGACCCAAACCCATTGGCTGGGCGTCTCCCGATTAAAATACACACCCATATATGCCCAAGGCATGCGAAGCATGCTTGGCGATGCCAGCCCATCGTGTTTTTCACTAAGTGTGTCGCTGAGTGATCAGCGCCGAACGACCTCACCGGGGGTGTGGCTGAGATTCTGAACACAGGGACACCTGGTGCCTGGAGGAGCTTTCTTTGGGCGCTTGGCACCATTTTGCCCCAGTTGTGCTTGCTTCTTCCGCGCTGTTCCGAGGTGGCCATGTGTGGGAGTTCGCACGCACGAGGACCGCGCCGGTCAACTGGTTGAACGCCGGTCAAGCGTCCAAAAGAATCACCAGTATCCAGGGCCCAAGACCAGGACCTTCAGTCCCTGACCTCTTTGGAGTCTCTTTTGGTGAACCGAAAAAAAAAACGGCCTGGGACGTGTGAGCGCATCCTCTAGGGACGTGGATCGACCAGTTACATGGTCACGAGTCACGACCAGTTGGTCCTGGGACCGCTCCGTCCAGATGTGCATCGATCACGGACAGCTGGCCGCCGCCGCTCACCCCGACAGAAGGGCGGCCAGACCTCTCGGAGGACGGATTGGGGAGGTCACATGAAGCCGAACTTCAACCACCTGTGTCGCAGCTTGGAGGCCTTCTAGACGTGAGACGGGAGGACGTTCGGAGTGGTCGAGTTCGGGAGCGACCGACCGTGACGTCTCCCAAAAGTGTTGGAGCACCACTGAGCTGCCAAAGCATGGAACCCCAACTAGGAGGTTTGTGGAGACGGTCAATCCCTGAAGGCATCAACCTTCAGACCTTGAGTTGTCCTGTGCTCCGCGAGCTTGCTTTGCTTGAAGAGGTTCCATACCTCTACTGCACAAAGGTTCCTTGGAGGCCAACGCATCACCACACCTCTAGGGGTCAACTGTAGTCAACTTGTGTTTTGCTTGGCTCGAAGGTGGATGGCGATGATGCTCCTTGGCCATGGATGGGAGAGGAGCAGCTAGGAAGTCGTGGGCAACATGGGTGGTGAACTAGAACTTTTTCCCATCTTTTGGATAGTAGTGTTGGATACATTTCTGCCTACTGCCATCGCAAGATATGCTTTACATCACGCAGCAGAAAGGCGAAGTTGACCGCTCTCCTTTTGCTTTGGAAGCATTTGGAAGTGACATCCCCACACCTCTCGCAGCCCCCTGTGGGTGTCACAGCGGGGTTTCGCGAATCCAAGGTGATCCGCTTTCGTTTGCTGGAGAAGAACTTTGGTGATTTGGGCAAGCCGACTTTCTGTGTGGGCCACAGAGAGGATCTCGCCAACGTTGGATCTCGTGAGTGTCTCAAGATGTGTCGGGGGAGCTCTTGAGCACCCGTGTTTTGGGTGACCGTTTTGGGACAGAGCCACGTCGCGTTTGGTTTATTCGATTGGATAACGAGTGACATGTAGTACAGTCTTGTCGCTCTTGAGAGCAATGAACAGTGGGGGCTTCACCAATCAACAGGAATTGACTAGTGACTATAGTGTTTGCAAGACGACCAAATGGATTGATCTTTAGATTATTCTGTTGGATGCTTTGGCTCTTGGTGTGACGATCTGAGTATAACTTCTGACCCTTGACTCCGATCGACCATTCAAAAGCCACGTGACCTGGTGGTTGTAATCTCACATCCTGAGTAAAACCAAATGCATGATGGGTTGAACTCTGGTGATCTCTGGAGTAAAACCTCTTCGTGACGTTTGAGCTCAACATTCAATCCATATGGCTTTTCACCGACGACCCCTGACGGTTTTCACCTGAGGGCAGTGCCAACCGAAGGACCCGGGCGTTTCGCCGATCGAGGCGGCGAGGCCTCCGTCCCGGTCCGGGTCCTCCTCCGCAGCGACGTCCGGTGCCCCCGGGTTCGGCGACTCGACGGCGCCACGGCGACGTCCGGTGGCCAAAATGGGTTCCGAAGAGCAAACAGGTGGTGCCGTGGACCATGTTCTGTGAATCCTTTAAACAGATTTGAAGTGGTTTGGAGATGTTTTGAAGGTGTCCATCTGGCTGGGCTGCCTGATGGCTGCCAGGAGAACATGGTTTCAAGGTGTTTTAAGATGTTTCAGTCATTTTTCGTATGTGTTCCAGTGATGTCCAGGGTTTTTCTGGCCATTTCTGGCCATTCTTCGAAGGCATTGAATTAACCTTGAATGCAGTGACTGTCGTGCGATGTTTGGTGCAGATGCCATATGAGTTGCATCACCCTCCCATTAGGGTACGCATTGCGTAGATGGCAACCCACCGTTCTCCCGGGGTCTTCAGTCGTGTCGGTTCGTTGCCACCGAGTCAACGCCAACACACTGGTCTCCGATGTTCCGCTTCATCGGGGCCAGACGAGGGTTGACCCACGAGTCCATGGGGCCGAACGGCGAAGCGCTGCGCTCCGCGCTCCGAACGGCTTGGGGCTCAAGGGGAAAAGGCAGGACACGTGTGGAGCATCTCGCCGGCACGGCTTGGACCACCTAGACACCATGGGAATCGATGCTGGGCTGCAGTAAAGATGCTCAATCGAGCTTGGCGATTGGACTTGCCAGGAACATGTCATTGGACTCAGGTGCAGATTCAAGACTGCTAATGTTTGATCCTGTTTGTAGGGTCATGTATTCTTCCAGTTTTTGCATAGCTAGCAGCTATAGCAATTCCAATTCCGTCCCCCCACTTCGTGTGATCTCCCCCCCTCTCGACTCGATTTGGCTCACAGCGAAATGTCTCCTTCTCCAACGCTCCAACAGAGGACTCGGGTGGACTAGGTCAAGCCACCAAGCCCTCCATCAACCACACTCTCCACTGGCGGCTAGGATCGACGGCAGGGAATCGGTTCTCCCGAACGGTTTGGCTTGGCCATTTGACCCGACCAAACCGGGCTCAATCATGGTTTCATGGTCTATGAGTCTATGAAGGCTGGGGACATTGGCTACTAGTAACAAGGGCATTACTACTATACAAGGACCTCGTACTTTTCACGTCTTCTGACTTGGACAGACACCGCTGGACAGACTTCGAGGGTTCGACGTGGACATGTACAGAGGGTTCGACTACCTGGTCAGGCAGAACTGCCGTTGGGCCGGGTGAGTTTAGGATTGCATCGGTCACTGAGGACATCGAGGCAGGTGGCCGCAAGAAGGTCAAGAAGCGCTCCTCGGCGTGGTTGATGTGCAGAGATGTTTTGTAAAGAGAGTGGCCATGTGTGGCAAACTGTGCAGGAAAAAGGTTAGGTAGATCCAGAACTACATGCCAGGGTTTTTGGCCTCTGGAAACTCATATCCGCACATGGAACCCATGCTGTTTGGTTTGCCTGACAAACCAGTGGTTTTGATGTTGAACACATCTAGGTAGCGATGACCTTCTACCGTTTGCACATCAGTTGCTGCACTTGTGCTACCATTGCCAGCACCTTTTTCAGCTGTTTTCTTAGCTTCCCTCAATGCCCAGCCCCATCACTGCGGGCGTCAGCCAAGGCGAGGTGAAGTCGCAGCTGCTTGGGCGAGAAAACGTCAAAGCAACAGTCCATGTGTGCTAGAATCGTAACACGCTTTTTGGAGCTCCTGGTAGTTCTTTTCCTCTATTTAACCAGAGGGTTGGAAGGATCCTCGCACTGGCATTGTGTCAACACTTGAAACGATCGTGTCATCAGGCCTTTGAGCTCAATCCAAAGCCCTTTGAGGTCACGGATCCTTCGCATTGCTGTTTCGCTTCTCCTATTTGTGGCCTTGCTGGTTACGACTGTTGATGAGAAGAAGGGTTGCTGTACTCCCCCCCAAAACCTTGCAAACACTTTCCTGTATGGAACCGGGAATCAGGTCATTGTTACTTTCAAACTGGCAAACTGGTGACATTGATTTTGTTTTGTCCTATCACCCCTATCATCGAATGAGGGTAGTTCACGGAGAGTTGTCTTCCTCAGAAGATCACTTATATATATACCCTATCCCTATCCACAAGCACGTCTTGTCTTCCAACTCATTAACGGGGTCAAGCAGGCATGCTTCTGTTGTGAAGGTGAATGTTTTATGCCACTGCACTGTGAATCAATCGTTTTTTCTTGCCACTTCACAGGCAAGTAGAAGGCCGTGCTTACCTGGCTTATTTCCGCCGCACCGCACAGACAATGCGCAGCACGGGCATGCGCATACCGCCGCGCGGCGCGGTTGAGGAACCCCTACCTGCGGCTCTTGTGCCAGCTCTACAAATTCCTGGCCCGTCGTAGTGAATCCAAGTTCAACAAGGTGCGGTTCCCTCGCGGCCGTGCCCTCGCGGTCCGAAGACATCCAGGGCTTTTCGGTCGCAGGAAAAGCAGCCTGGGCTTTTCCGCCAGGAAAATGAGGTCGGAGGGAATGTGTTCGGTGTATATACCCCAGACCATCCATGTGAGTGGAATATATGCTACCCCATTGAGCCCAGGTCAACGCAGGTCAACCACCTCTGTAGGTCAACATGCCAGTCCCGGTCGCTCCAGACCGACGACAGGTCATCGCCAAGCGCCTCAACATGTCTGGAAGGCGCAGATAACGAGAAGGGTTTCGAGCCCAAAAAGGGGTGGCAAAACAGGTTGGAACCCCTCAAAAAGGTCATCCAAGATGCGATTCGGCTGAACCACCTCAGACTGCGGTGATGTGATCTAAGTAAGGAAAACTATCGAGTTGACTCCATCGCATCCAACTCGAGCCCCGCGATCTGTCGCCATAAGAGGGACCTTGGGGGCTATCCGACCGGATGGCACCGGAGAGACCATCAGAGTCGGTGAACATAGACCCGCCAGTCGGGGCGGGTCTGGATGGGGAAGGGGGATGTACAAGCAATTCTTTCGGTATAAGTCATCGACCCACCGGCTGGGGTTTTCCACAGGAACCGCCCGCCGCTCTCCTTGTCCAAGCTGATCAAGCACATGGATGGCAAGGCATCGCTTTTTCCAGCCGGGCCGAGGCAGAGCAGGACACCACCATAATTATATCGGTGTAACTGTGGCAAGCGGTGAATGCCAAGGATGGCAAGAAGAGAACCTTGGAGATACGTGGAGTGCATTTATGAATTCTATTTAACTTATGAGACACTTTGTCCAATCAAAACCTCCCCGCATCGGCGCATACATCCTTCTCTTCGATCATTCAATACTACACAGACTACACAGACACATGGTAAACGTTTGTCGGACTTTGAGTAGGGTCTACACCACACAAAATCATCATCGCAATTACAACCATCCTCCTCCTCCTCCTCCTCCTTCTCATCATCATCATCATCATCATCATCATCATCATCATCATCACCATCACCATCACCATCACCATCACCATCACCATCACCATCACCATCATCAGTCACCATCACCATCACTCTGGTCATCATCAACATCACTCTGGTCATCATCACCATCACTCTCATTATGTTCAACATCCTAAAGACTGTTGCCTTACTTCTGAGCCAACTCGTTTGCCAGGATGGAAAGGTCGCCGTGGTGGTAGGCGCAGGGAGATGCGGGGAGAAGTGGAGGGCAAGTGCTGATATTGGTGTTCGAGTCTCAGCATGGAGACATCATATGATGCTTTAACAAAAGCTTTGGCTCCAAACATTTTTGAAGGAACCCAGGAACACCGTCTTGATGCCGGTAAATTGAATCAAGCCACCTTTTTTTTCAGAAGACGCGAGATGGCAGATCCATCGCACCGAGTCACGTGACTCGGGCGCCTCGTTCCGTTCCGTGCGGAATAGGCCGTCACAAGCCGCCGTGGAATATGCGTCGTCGTGTCTTGGATGCGCCGTCCGGCCGAAACGGACCGTCGGATGACTAGGCACCGTGACGGATGACAAGCGGGTCTACGATGTGCCAGAGATCAAGGCGGTGAAGTCACCCGAGTGGAAGAACACGTATTCTGTGAGCTTGTAATAGAGTAATATGCTGTTTTTCCCTTTTCCCCTTTCGGGATGGAGTTCATGCTAGTGCTAGTTTCGGATGAAGATGTGCGCCTTTGATTCCTGGCTAATTCTACCGTTTGAAGACCGGGTGAAGCCAACAAACCTCATTCCAATCCGCGGTCTCGTCACAGGTCTGCGCCTTGCGCTTCACAGAGACCGCGCGTGCCAGGCGCGGCTTCGCTTGCGGAACGCGTTTGCGGGGCGTTTGGAGAAGGATTCAAGGACGATGAAGCGGTTTGGTAGTTTGGTTTGGAAGCGAAGAGCGTCCAACCTGAGATTTAGGAGGATTTTAATGGTGGTTTCGATGAAAACCATCCAACCTTTTGGGCATATAGAGTGAGCATTTAATTAACTGCGATACGTTTATATTTGGTTAAATATTATTTGGAGGGCTCTATGGATGTTTAGATGTTTTCGATTCTTGGCATATCTTGGGACAACAGCGCCAGCTGCGCGAACGGATCTTCTGCGCACGGATCCGACGCGGAGGATCGTGAAGGCCGGAGGAGAATGCCTCACATTCGATACCTTGGCCATGCGCCCGGCGGCACAGGAAGGGGGTCCAAACATGGGGTCTGTGTGGAGATCGTTCCTCAGGTCATTCAGGTCATGGGCTGGCCACCATGGTTGAAACTGCTGGTGGTCCTTCAGCAAGTTAGTCGGTGCCTGTGAAGCCCTGCCCCCAGGTCGAGGTGGGTACATGTTTGGTCCGTGCATCACCTCATCGAACAGTCCCCACTTTCCTTCGCATCCGGTCGTGGCGGGTCGTCCGTCCGACGACCTCCGAGGCAGTCCTTTGGGCAAAGGCACGGTGCTCCTTCGTGGCCCCGTGAAGAGCCGTGAGGCTGAGCGCCACTTCGGCAAGGCGCAGACGGTGTTGGGCAGATGGTGGTGGTGGGAGAGGCCCGTGGGCCAGTTTCTTCGAAGAACACGG